CCTCGATACATCCCCTCGTGTGGTCAACGACCCCTCGATACATCCCCTCGTGTGGTCAACGACCCCTCGATACATCCCCTCGTGTGGCCAACGACCCCTCGATACATCCCCTCGTGTGGCCAACGACCCCTCGATACATCCCCTCGTGTGAAGTGTAGCAACAACTGGCTATAATGACCCCAACAACCAGCCAACCAATCAACCCATTCCCCCTCCCACTCCCCTCGTCCTGTCACTGACCCCTAACGAGGCCATTAACCTTCTTCCCCTTGGTCAGGTTAAAGGGGCACGATTGTATGGGTCTCCCACAATACCACATGTGTTTCTTTCTCGCCATTTCCAGGCCACATCCCCACGACTCACCAGTGCCTGAAGTAGGCCCACTATGTGTCCATTCTTCTACATGATCACATCTACCCTATCTATTCCCCACACTATCTGATTTGTCCTTATGACAGTCCTGGTTGATACCTGGTTGATGGGGTTCTGGGAGTTCTACTCCCCAAGCCCGGCCCGAGGCCAGGCTTGACTTGTGAGATTTTGGTTCACTAGGCTGTTGCTTGGAGCGGCCCGCAGGCCCACATACCCACCACAGCCCGGTTGGTCCGGCACTCCTTGGAGGAATAAATCTAGTTTCCTCTTGAAGATGTCCACGGTTGTTCCGGCAATATTTCTTATGCTCGCTGGGAGTTGAACAACCGTGGACCTCTGATGTTTATAACATTCCTCTTATCCTCAGGGGTGTGGTGCTTATAAGCTGAAGAACTGGTCAAGTTTCTGCAGTTAGCATTTACTATTTGTGTCTGCAGAATCGAGCTATTAGCTCTCGGACCCCCCGCCTTTCTAACCAATCTATTTTACTGTTCTTATATTCATTTGTTTCTACCTCGGCTGGAATTCGAACCCGGGCCTTTACGACTACGACCCCCGAGCGCTGTCCACTCAGCCGCGAGGATCAGCCTGGCTGTGATGGCTATGTGGGCCTTCCCGCAACAAAGGGTCAGCAAGCAGATAGGGTCGAACGCCAAGTCTTTAATTCCGATTCCGAACTGTCAATCTTTTAATTGTAATTACTTTTAGTTCATATCATTTGCTTTGTGAAGTTGAGTACTCAGTTTGGATGCGTGTGCGCTCATGTAATTTTTGGAATATTTTAACAAAACGGAAAAGGGATGCTATATCGATATTTTTTTAGCAACAAGGTAGGTAACCTGAAGGCAGGCAGGTAAGGCTGCCGCGTATGTCGCAACTCCACTTAACCAATCTCTAGTTTCACTACAAACGAGAGCCCTGCAAATCACAGTAAACTAAATCACCATTTCAATTGCAATCAACAAAGCCAACTACCAGTTTTATTATCGACTAACTACCAAGGCTCATTAAAGCAAAACTCCCAAGACTGTGTTTTGACGAGTACCGAACCGCCAGTTCTCTCGGTCAATAACTCTGGGAAAGTTATAATTGATTACTACTTGTATTGGTGACCATATCAGCGGGATGTCCTCTGGGCTCGAAACTCGTTTGAAAGGCCACTTGTTTAACGAGCTGGTTCACTCGTCCAGCAGAGCCAGTTACGCGCTCATTTTCACATATTCCCAGTCACCGAGTTGCATAAATTATGCCGCTTAAATAATAATGGTAGGTGTCACTTTGTATCTTGTATAATGTGTGTGTTTGTACGGCAATTATAAGAATGAATACTATTCCCTTGTAACTACTGGCACTTCTTAATGCTAAGAGGGCAGCGTCACTGGCACTTCTTAATGCCAAGAAGGCAGTGTCACTGGCACTTCTTAATGCCAAGAAGGCAGTGTCACTGGCACTTCTTAATGCCAAGAAGGCAGTGTCACTGGCACTTCTTAATGCCAAGAAGGCAGTGTCACTGGCACTTCTTAATGCCAAGAAGGCAGTGTCACTGGCACTTCTTAATGCCAAGAAGGCAGTGTCACTGGCACTTCTTAATGCCAAGGCAGTGTCACTGGCACTTCTTAATGCCAAGAAGGCAGTGTCACTGGCACTTCTTAATGCCAAGAGGGGCAGTGTCACTATAGTCACTTGTCGCACTTTATTTTTTACCGTGTTATTTTGCCGATTTTATCCGTGTGAATATTCCACTGTGACGAGGACCAACAACTTCACCCCTATCCTGTCCCATGATAAGTTAACTATCAAAGGAACTAAGCCAGTATGACTATACAGTACCGGATAATGAAGTGATACGAGGACAGACCAAGAGAGAGATGATATTAGGATGGAGTATTAGAACGATGCCTAACCACTTTAACTATCGGGGATCGAATTCTGACTGTAAAATGTGAGATCGTCGCTGTATCCGACCTGTGAGGCAGAGATTTCATTATGGAATTAGTTTTCCCCCCCCCCCAATAGCCATGACAGCAGAAATATTTGGTGCAAAAATGAACTGACGTGATCATCCGGGCTGTGATTCATCTCACCAGTGTCTAACAGCCTGAATGATCAGATCACCAGGCTTTGTAAGTGACTGGGCCGCGAGGTCATTGATCCTCAACACAAGATAATCTTTATCGGGCTTTCTAATGAAATGCTATACAATACCGGGGTTTGACTAGCATCAAATAATTTATCGAAAAGATTTAATTTCAGCTCTGTCTGGAACACACACACAAAAGAGAAAGTCGCACGGACTGACAGCTGTCGCTTATGAATACGACCGGACAAGAGGGTGTTTTTTGTCAGCCTAAAGGTAGCTTCTTGGTCCCGCTGGACTCATCAAGCATCTCGCCTACCTGCAAGCTGGTGGTACTTGGTGAAACTCACGCCAAGGTACCCAAGGTACCCTGTGACTCATATGTCAGGCTGCGAGCAGCCGTGTCTAACAGCCTGGTTGATCAGTCCAGCAACCAGGAGGCCTGGTCGACGACCGGGGCGCGGGGACACTAAGCCCCGGAAGCACCTCAAGGTAACCCACCACGTTCCTGCCACACCACACTGGTGTATCCGTAACATTCACTGACTTCAAACAACACTAATCCTCACATCTTTCAAGATATTGATGATTACTATAATTGTGTGCATTACCTCTCCTTGGTATTACGGGCTCACCATAGCCTGTGCTACATGGACACTTCGTCCTGAGTAGCTAAATCTTTAACAACAACCTCTCCTTGGTAACGGATAGCCTGCAATACCCTCAGTGGAACACTGACTCACAGGTTACTATGGCACCTAGTGCTGCCAAAAACAAGTGAGCATTATCTTTAATGCTGAAACCTTCTCAAATCAGAAATGGTCCTTACCCGAGTTTACCAGAGAGCCACTAACCCTAGTGGCCTCGACGTGGACAGAAAGCCAAGGCTTGTCAAAGGTCCCCCCCAACCATTTGCCATTACCCCATGTGGTACAGAATTGTTTCCAGATTTTAATTAACAAACACATGGAGTTCTGGGAAAATAAAAATGCCTCGCCATTTTTCAAACAGTCTCGATATATTTTTTGTGGAGTAATAATGTAAATGTGATATACTCAAGTACTGATGATAGAACCCAAGTGTCACAGCCAGTCGAACATGTCACCTCGACTACCACACCCCCCTGTTAGCTTAACATTTTAAAAGCACCGAATCACCTTCTGTGGTCGAGTGTTCAATAAACCCCTGAACTATATGTTTAACACTTCTCTAACCCTGTTCATGGAGGACAGAAGAAAATGTATATATGCTGGTTAGCATTGTAAATGTGTGGCCACGTCTGTGGTAGAAAATAATAAATAATAATAATAATAATTAATAAAAAAAAAAAACCTAGACCTCCACTTATATACCCCCTCCCCTCTCAGCAAACCTAAGACAGAAGCACAAGTTTCATTACTGTATTAGCAAAAGCAAGACACTAGTAAATGTATGTTCTTCCCTGTATGTACATCTCCCCTTACATAAGAATAATTCCATGGCACCAAATATGTGGGATTTATCAGATGACAGCGATGCTGCAAACTTTCCCCTCCTCCTCCCAACAACTATGCAACAAGTCCTACACACTTTCAGAATTTGTTAATTATACAAACTTGGAAAAAAGGAAAAATGTCAAATGGCCTCAAGTGACAAGGCGCTGAATATAGACGTCCTTCTTGCTTTACCAACTATTCATCACTATATTAATAATAATATACGATAAATTCCAGCAGCAAGCTAACGATATTTAACGACAGATTTGAACACTGTACCAAAAGCAGTATTGCTACAGTATTTTAGTATTTTGTACGTCAATTAGCTTGACACAAAAAAGTGTGGGGTTTTCTCTGACATTAATGTACCAAACAAAATGATTACCTGTCAAATTCGAGAGTTACTCTACTCCTGCAGCCTTCCCTGGTGATTGCCCGGTTTGCGAGACTGTTCTTGAAGCCCAAAGATCCACATAATCATAGCTAGGCTGATCCAGTAACACCAACAGAAACTTGTCTAGTTCTCTCTTGAAAGCTTTCACTGTTGTTCCAGATACATTTACTTTTTTTACCAGTATTCTGAAGTCATGAGACACTGACATTTACACTACTCTTCTCCAAATGTGCTTATGGCACCCCAACTTTTCATTAGATTTATTTTGCCCTTGCTACCATCTCACACCTGTTGTAATTTGATTGTGTAAACTTGGAATCTGTCTTTACAGTATCTTCTATGTGTACATTAAGGGTTGACTGAACTTGCAATGACCTTTCACAACTTGCTGCCACATTAAAACAAAAAGATTAAGAGTACAGCATCTAAGGAACAGGGCAATCTTAGACACGAAGTCTTGTACTTCTTTATGCTACCTACCTACGTGTGGAGGTTCCGGGAATCAAAGGCCCCATGGCTCGATCTCTGATCAGGTCTCCCAGTTGGTCAGAGATCAGGCCACATGGCTTTTAATTGCTGAAACCTCTGCAAGGTAGCTACATCATTTGGCTCTCCATTGTAAAGCCAAATGATGTATCTTTGTCGAATGACAAAAACTCATGAATGCTGAAGAATAACTTACCTGATTATTTTCCTGCGTTCATTTGGATGATATCGTGATGCTATATCCGGATCAACTTCCTGTAATCGGCGATATAATTCCTCGGTTGGGATATCCGTGTCTTGCCACACCCGACACTGAGCTGTTAATTCATCACATTTGCTCTCACTTGCACTTTCGTTATCTTTAACCTTTTCCATTTCTTTTCCCTTTCTTTTCACATCATCACCTCCCATATCACCCTCAACACACTCCTTTTCTACAGCACTGATAACACTATCACCACCATCTTTCTTAGCTCTAACACTATCACTCACACTGTCACTAATAGCACCACTTATCTTACACTTTTTCAAAACACCTTCACCGGTATCATCACTACTTAAATTTCTCTTAGCACTGCCATAAATCTCTCTATCCCGCTCGTAAACAAGCTTCGGATTGCCAGTCTTTTCAGTTGGCACGGAATCCATCAGGACATTCCAGAGCAGAGACTCGATATAATAATTGGTGCCACCAACAATAACCGGTATTTTATCTTCACTGAGCAGTTGCTCCACCAGAGGAAGGGCGGCATTGCGGAAATCCGTGACACTATAGCGAGATAGAGGATCCACAAAATCTAAAAGGTGGTGTGGGACCTGTGCTTGCTCTTCCGGTGTCACTTTATTGGTGATAATATTTAGACCATGGTAAACCTGCAGGAGAGAGAAATAAAGCCAATTTAGCATCAACAAAAGTCATCATACAGATATAGCATTGCATTACATTATAGATGATAATGAGCTTCCTAACATTCTTTAATATAAAAAAAAAAAGTATAGTACAGTTGCCTATGTGCTTGGCTCACAGTCCAGGGACCCTACGTTTAAGCCCCAGACAAGACAAACCTTTGGGGCACATCTCCTTTACTGTGATGCACCTGTTCACCTATCGGTTAAACAGGTACCTGGGAGTCTTGCAATTGTTGTGTAGGTTGTGACAATGGTTACTTTTGCCACTACGTACACTGAACAAATATTGAATTTTCAGGTATGACCATTACATAATCTTCCCACATGTTCTATATAAAATAATGTACAGTACAGTACATTACTGTAAATACTGTAGTTTAAAGGGTGTGATCCAGTGTGTGCTTGGGCATACCAAAAGTGCAAGCTCGCATCCTCCTCTTGGCTCCAACTGATATTCTTGATAAATTATTATTCCCAGTACAGTATATTGGTGCTAATTACAAGCAATAATAATATTAAATATTTTGATAATACTCTACAGTAATAAGCTCAGGCAGTGGATATTCTTGACACATGCCCTACTAGATAGATTATGAAAAATTACCTTCTCACAATAGCTATTCAATATAACTATAGCAAGTTAATGGTGCCAACGCTCTAAAATACTAAAAAGTAACAAAAGCGAAGGTGGTAAAACTTAACTGATAATTCCACAAAGGTAACAAAACTGATCTTGCTCCAAAGACAAAATTCAGCAAATTAGTAACCACCTTTAAACTGGAGGTCAAATTACTGTAGCATGAAACACCAAATTTGCTAAAATAGTGACTAAGATTTGGACCAAAGCACTGCTGTGGGTTACATCCTGGGATAGGTGAATTGTTGGTATAGATGGACCTCAACAAATCTAATGTGCTTCTTGTTCCTGGCAATCTCCACACGATGCTTCATGACAATTAGGAGCCAAGAATCCACTTGTTCAATCTTAACCCTTAAACTGCTCAGCAAAAGGGGCATGGAAGCAAAAAATATTCGAATTATAAAAAAATTGCTTGAAAATGTTAAAACAAATCTCCAACGTAATGCCTTCAGCATCGTGAAACTTTCAAATTATTTTCAGAAACTTATTTTAGACAAGTTTTTTAAAAAGAACATTTTGTTGATTAGGAGAACAGCTCCTATTAACTGGAACTGATGGATAATGCAGTAATAAAGAGATGTAAGCACCTGTCCAATGCACAAAAGAAGAAGAATAGTAAAAAGTGTCCCCAAAGTGGATATGCAGATGGTGCCAACTGCCGAGTAATACCTAACAAAAATAATATGTCTGTTATTATGCTCTGTTTTGTTATATATCATATAAATACATTGCCTAATGTTAATGTTACTTTTATCAATGTCTTTTTTTTTTTTAGGGGATTTCTTCTAAGATTTTAGCTTTTTTTCTTCTTTGTTTATTATCCGATTTTATTGTAACCTTCTCATTCTGGAGAGTGCATGCCAGTCCCTAACTATGTGAAGATAGAATGAAATTGGGCAACAAATAAATCAGTCACAACTGGCAGAACTTGGGACTTTGAATTATTTTTGGCCAATTTTTTCACAGATTTTAAACTACACTATTTTCTTTCTTTCTTTCTTTAGGTTGTTTTGATGCTTAGGGACCACTTTGGGTTTTTTCAATTATATAAAGTATACCCTCAATGTATCCCCTAAATCTTTATAATTATCTCCCTATTTTTTTTAAATGTGTAAAAGTGGGGAGGGGGGGGGGGTATTTTTTCTTTATTTCATTTTAACACACATTGACCTACAACTTTCACATACAGTATTCGAGTACGAATGCCAAACAATGTTTATTACAACATACAAGTAAATTCATGAATTAGAACTGCCTTATTCATTGTCAATAACTTCAACTTCAATTATATCTATAACTAGAATTTCAACTTACTTCAATATCCAAAAATCTAGTTTCTAACCGATTCTCATTATTTTTAAATATTGTGTGCACAGCTGTCGGTTCTACAATCGCTATAAAATTGATTTTCATAAACCCGAAACGTTTGAAGTTATAAATTTTGTTGTTTAAATTTCTGCTTACTTCAAATGCCATATTGATGATTTTTTTTTTACAATAAACTATACTGAAAACCTATATTCTAAATACAGTATATGCAAATGAAAACCATATGCTATTAGGAGAACATAACACCAAATGAACAATTGGTGATAATTTATATTTTTGAAGCCGATTTCAAAACCTGAAGTTTTCAATATTCAATTTTATAATTGTCTTTTATTTTCTTGTTTTCAAGTTACATTGGTACAATTTAGAGAATGTTGGAGCATTTGCCTAGTAGATTATGCACAAAACATTTGAAAGCGTTTCAGCAAATTTTAAAAACTGAGTTCCATGTCCTCTATGTCTGACTTCATGTGACATTTTGTGCAGCTTAAGGGTCAAGAAAGAATAGCAATAGCAAAAACATTATCCACATTGACTATCAAACTGAAGCCCAGGCAGGCATTTCCATGTCTCGGTGCAAAGGCTAACGAAACTTATCTTATTTAGTTTTTCACCCTGTAAACTGAGAATCATGTCCTACACAATTTACTCAGAGATTCCATAAATAACAAGGCATTCCCTTTGAAAAAAGAACATTAAGAATACGCTGTAAAGTACTGCTAAACGTGTAGAAAATCCAAAAAGTCGACTCACTTTTTGCAGTCCTCTACCATGCTTGAATTTTTTTTTACATCCGTTCCTGTTTCTCTTTCAATTCATTACTTCTCATTCAATACTATCTCTCAACTTCTAGTCTCCAATTTCATTTTTACATACATTATTCTCATCTTTTGTCTCCTTTGATCTTCTCAATAGTCCTGCCTTTCTTTTTTCCATCAGATTCTAAAGGTCAAGAACAAGGATTAGTTCAGTTCAACCATTCCAAATTTATGCACAGATGAGGCCAACAATAAAAGTGTGATTAGTAAAAGGCAGAGGTTTAGGTAAACTACTTTCGTGAAATTTTCACAAAACAACCAGAGGAGAAAGGTACCAAAACTTATGACGAATGACTAATTTGCTAGAAACTGCAGGCATGCAAAGAGCACATAAACCATAACAAAATTTAGTCACCAAAGCGAGATGAAATTTGTCCTAAGAGTGACCATGGATAAACATAGATGAGTTATTAAAACCAATATAAACCCAATGCTCACTCTTTCACAAACGTACAAAACAAGTATGCTAAATTTACTAAGCAGGAAGATTAAAGTGACTCCAGGATTTAGACCTGTTAAGCTTCACAGGTGTAATTTAGAGTAATGGAGAACTCCACAGTTTACTGAAAAATTCTTCTTCCATAGAATCTCAACAAGTAGCAGCTAATTTCAAAAAGCTACAACAAGTAGCAACAAATTACAAAATTGCAATTGGTTTTACAATTAAAACTAGTATATATTACCCAAAAGCCCCTTCACTTTTCTTCACTCCCAAGGAAATGCCATGCTGTCAAAGGTATGCTTGCACAAAGCAAATATGTACACAGAATCACCCCCTATGTCAAGAAGCTAAAACACATTGAACCAATGGGATGTGGCTAAGAATAAACCTACACCAGTCAGAAATGCTGTCATCTGTGTGTTGGAATCCTTTACTTTAATGCCAATTCTCACAGCTTAAGTGAGCAGTACATCCTTATGTTAAGGCAAGGATTGATAGAATAAACAACAGTTCAAGAAATTATTCAATCTTCTTGAATGTCAGGTCTAGATAATTGAAGAACTGCAAAACGAAGTTCAAACCAAAGACAGACTTTAACATAGCCGAGTTGATAGAGTTGATAGCCTCACGCGTGTGGGGTCCACGGGTCAAGACGCACACAGTTCAGGTGAATAGAATTTAACAAGAACTAAAAAAATAAAATCAAACATCTGCAACACGAGATGTTGTAGATGTCTTTAGCACGAGATAAAAATCTAAAAAATTTTACCCAAAATCTAACAACACCAACAAGAAACAGGAGGAAGCACAGTCAAAGCTTGATAAAATACACAGTACAGTACCTCCTACTGGACAAGCAAGCATGAAAACCATGACCAATACAAGCTGTACTAGTGGAGAATGATGGAAAAAATTATTCTTCCATCATGCAGGAACTAGAGAAAATTACATGAAGTACAGTATCAATCCAACGAGCAATGCTATGTGCATAGTTGGATAAACTCATCAAACTGGTTCAAACAGGAGAATTTCCTTTGAACCACATAAAAGCTCAAGTAAAACATTTAATCAATGGAGGATCTATGTGAATGCAAAAGTAGACCTTTATCTATAAATAAATAAATAAATATAAATATAAATATGTTTATTCAGGTAAGGTATATACATACAAGTGATGTTACATTAATGGATTGATATATAGATAGAGCTAGTACATACAATGCCTAAAGCCACTATTACGCAATGCGTTTCGGGCAAATCTACATACATCAGCTTAATCAAGGAGTGATCAGACAGTGCTCACTACAGCAAATACTGTACTGGAAAAGAAACTGACAAAATTTAGAAAATACTGTAACTGATGGAGAAATCCTTAAAGGATTTTTCTCTAACCGAGATCACAAAACGCCCAGAAAATACACATCTGGGTTAACCCAATTATAAACTGACAATACCAAAACTTACCCATAACAATTCCAGTGTTAGGGGAAGTACCAAGGCGCATCGTACATAATACAGTTTGCCAATGGATTTTAAAACCTAATTAACCTCACCCGAGCTTAACTTAATGATAAATTATTTTGTTAATCATAAAATAGCTTTATTGAACCATTTTGTGTATGATTTGACCATACCTATTCCAGCATACTAGCTCCATCCCACATCCAGAAGTTTTAAAACTGAATTGCTAATCTGATAATCAGAGATACAGTACTCAATAGTAGTTCCACTGGTATCCTGTACTGTATTACAATTGTAATTCATTGTGTCAGGGAACAGGCAGCCAATTTGTACTTAAGTATAAAGTACCACCACATGCTGATACTTTAAGTACTGTGGATGATATGCTGAATTGATGGACTGTGTTAATTCTTCTTTTCCTGTTTTCTCTGTTTTCTTCTAGGCCTTCCTCTAGGCTCCTCACTCTTGTTGGGTCATAAATACTACAATTAGATAAAGATTTTCAGGGTCAATGGCTGCTTGCCTGATGATGCATTATAAAGACAGCTTATTAAGACAGTAGAATGGCAAATTGTAAAATTAGTTGGGGGGAAAAAACAAAAATGACTTATGGGCAATTGATAAATTTACAAGTGCAGTTGAATTGTAAATCTATGTACAGTACTACCTGTATATAGTAATAGAATATGATGTATAATTCATTATTATTAGGGAATTATACTTGGTATTCTATTACTGTACTATTTAGTACATCTTTATGATTCAACTACTGCGCAATTTATCAATTGTCCATCAGTTTGTTTGTTTTTCAAACTAATTTTACACTACCCTACTTTACCATAGTTTATGTTTATAAACTGTCTTTATAATGTATCAACAGGCAAGCAGCAATTGACCCTGATTTTTTTTTTTTTTTATCTATTGTAGCATTTATGACCCAACATAACCTAATTAACTAGTCCAACCTCTAGACAGCTTCTTTTTAATTTACTACTGCAATGATAATGAAGCTTCAATCTCAAACATTATCAGTATCACTACACCATTTTTCCATCTTCACAGATTAAGGAGCCACAAGTTCAGAAGAAAATGGAGAAAACAGGATAAAAGAATAAAATCCCATCGATTCAGCATAACTTCCACAGTATCAAAAGCATCAGCATGTGGAATCAGTAATATTGTACTGAATAGCAAGTTCAAATTTAGTTTTCTAAATGCTCAGTTCATTTGAATGAAATACTGTACTGTTCAGAATATTAAAGTCAATTCCCAAAATATAATAAACTTTCTTGCGGCAAGATTCCATGCTGTGCGATATATCTGGCAACACCCCGAGACTAATTTTTACTTGGCTGTCATTACAGATTACCAGAATTCATATTCAGATGTGGTATCCAAACTAGGACGATACTGTGGAACATCTACAGTACTGTACGTACTTCTCCATTGCCCACAGTTTTAGAGTGCTCGCATCAGACTTCAGAGTGCAATCCATAGGTTGCATATTCCTTGCCTCATGGTTTCCGTTCTCCTTAATGGTGCAGATGACAAGGGCATCCTTTATGACATCCTGCGCCAAACCTTTCGTTTTATTGGACACGTCCATCAAATGGAGAATTTAGGATACCATACCTCTCCGCAATTTCCCGATATCGGGCAGCCGGGACGCATCCAATCCCCTTAATCAACAACATCATATTCGGATGTACCTAAGGAGCAGATTGCTCAATCTCATCAAGAATAAACAAAAACTAAATTTACAAAAAAGTGCAAAGAAAACTATTACACCCTCTTTATAAGTCATTATGATGTTCCTAAAATAATAATACTGTAGGCATTTGTGTTAACAAGTGAATCCAACTAGATACAATTATAGTACAGTATTAGGAAACTGGGGGACCTTCGACAAGCTGCCAGCTACCTGTCCCTATCAAGGCCACTAGAGATGGTGGCCCTCAGGTAAATAATTCAACCTAAAAAAAAAAAATACAACAGTGTTTATTTAAATTACACATCATTGTATTGTGTGCGAGATGAAATAAGGTACTAGTGGCTGTGTGGGGGAAAGAGGGAGGGTAGGTGATCTCAGCCATGGAACTCAAACATCACTATGTAAGTTGTCTACATCACATACACAAATGTTGGTTAGTGCATTTACAGTTTACAATTGATATTCACACCAAATGATCCAATCCGAGCAACACTCCAGCAATCACAGCATAAAGAAAAATTTCCTTAAATTAACATATGAATTCGTAAATAGTAAACGAATGAATTATTATTTGTTGAGAAAGATTACATAATTAATGTAAAACAGGGGTTATACATTTGTCATTTCATACACAACCACTTCTGTTGCATACAATGCAGTTTTGCATAATCATTTCAAATACCCACACAACGTTTCTTAGTCTTTAAGCCCAAACCTAAATTGCAAGACACCGTGGACCTCTATCCAACTAATTCGGTCCTTTGTTTGGCCAAGAAATTTTATGCCCGAAACGCTTTGCGTAATAGTGGCTTTAGGCATTGTATGTACAGTACTAGCTCTACCTATAAGTCAACCAATCTTTGTAAAAATTTCTTGTATGTATGTACCTTACCTAAATAAACATTTATTTATTTATTTATTTATTTATAATCTCCAAGGAGTATGAACCATATACAAACATTTGGAAACTCCATACACTGTATTTGCCCAACCACGATAGTAGAGTGACATTCTCACTTCGTGCAGGGCAGCATTCAATCCCCGACCGTCCAAGTAGTCTAGCACCAATACTTTACCTCCCGTCCCATCCCAAATCCTTGTCCTGACCACCTTCCAAGTGCAATAGTCGTAATGGCTTGGTACGTTCCCTGTTAATTCACTTTCCCTTCTATATAATGTACATGCTATCCAAGAAACCTGTACCTAGAAACATTTTAATTTGAGAAAGTTATCCTACAGCTGGCCTAGTTGCTCATTAGCAACAGCTGAGAAATGCATCTCTTAGGCACTTTTTTTTTAACTTTATGGTTAAGTGTCCTATTATATTATTTCACACAACTCCATTATACTGATGTCAGCCTATTTCCTTCTTTAATGTAAACATGACAGTTTAAACCCCCACTGTTGCTAGTTACCTCATGGCTTGGTATTAAACCACTTCACTCAAAGTCAAGCCACTACAGTACTAACAGTAAGCAGACCACCGACAGTACTGGACACCTCAGAAGGTAAGTCTATGTGCTCAAAATACCCAAAACAATTTACCACCAAAATCAAGAAGTTATATTAGTGTTCAAGTAGAAAATGCTGCAGTTCAAGCAGGTATGGATAATCTTCAATAATTTCATGACATTTGTTCAAATACCAAATAGGTGGATAAAGTTGGATATGGGAGAGAGATATACACCACAAAAACCTGCCCTTCCATATAAGTACTGAAGGATTACCATCCATTCCAGTTTCCACTGCATCCTCTGAAATTGTTGCAAGACAATGTGCATCACCTGTTGTAGATGTTCAGGAACACAAGAGTCCAGCCCTTTAAATCTCTCTACAATACACTACCTTGCACAGTTCATAATAGGCAAGATAGCCCTGAACCCCATCTCTGGTGTCTATAATAATCATAGATACCAGCTTTAGGGCTACCTTTAAGGGCTATCTGCAGACTACTCTTCCTAAACTCAAAACGTCATGTTCGTACAATTCGTATGTTCTTTATCGATAAATCACAAAGACCAGTAGCCGAGGAAAATATCAAGAATAATGAATACAAAACTCGTGTCGCTATTAGTGCAGACCGCATGGCTGTTGCAGTGCATGTTGTTGAGGCCTAGTGACCCGGCCCTTGCACACAACACCCGACGACACGGGCCACCTCTGCCCTCCATACCACTATCCTCTTGCTACACATCTACCTCGCAAGGCCTCGCAGCAGTCACAAGGCGATACATTCATCCCGTCACTCGCTACGCCGCTTTCAATCCAACCGGCGACGGGAATTGCCCTTCCCTTGTTCCGCCATCACTCCTCCTTGGAGACACACGTACACATGCTCCTTACACACCTCATTTCACTTCATAAACACCGCCTCACCTGCATGGAATCCGCGCTGATGATTTCTCCGTTAAATTTCCTAGCTATTTCCAGCGCTAGCTTCGATTTTCCCGTGCCTGTGGCGCCTAAAACCACGACGACAGGGAGCCGAGCAGCCCGTGCTGCAGTTGCCACAATGGAAGCCATGTTGACTCAATCAGCTGATCACGGGAGGGCGCGCACCTCGTCCCAACACGTGGGACCACGCACCATCCCGCCGCTTACACTTCACTAACACAAAAACTAACCCTTACCTGCACAATTATACATCAACGACATAATTAGAGTAACATAAAAGATATTCTATTAACATTTCGTCATTTGTTGCGTAGTTTTAGCTTTCCGAGGAGCGCAGTTTATGAGTAGGTGGTAACTGGGGTGTAGTTGCCAGAGAGAAGGTAAAAATCCATCTGACGCACGTGGAGCTCCGTCCCCAGTGACCCGGGGGCCGGACCCAACCCTTATGGGCCCATCTCCCCCCATATAACCCTGGAGGCCTACCACGTTCTCAGAATGTTTGCTAATATGTTTATTGTTTGTGATGTGTGTCTATGTATGTATTAACACGATGTACTGAACGGGGTGAGAGTAGCTTGAGCTACCTCATCCCTTTGTGTGTATTTTACCTCAATAAACTTACTTCAATTTCAATTTCCTACCACGTATGATGGTACTTTGTTTTTAATTCTGTCCAGAAGGTCTAGTTTATTGGCCAGCATATTGTTCTTCCACAGTGACACGGTTGTAGCAGAAAATTCTTAACGACACGGGGTAACATTGAAATGGTTGTATGCATTTATAATTAGGAAATTTTACAAACAAATTACAGTACATTAATTATATAAATGTGTCAATAACAGCTTAACACGTACAGCCATTATCAGAATCAAACTTTACTCGTAATAATCGATATATAAATCATTACAATACTGTTTGGACAAGTTTGTATAGCAAGTTTCAGGTTATTAACCTGAAACAGGTAACACAAGTATATAAACAAGACAGGGGCCTCGTAGCCTGGTGGATAGCGCGCAGGACTCGTAATTCTGTGGCGCGGGTTCGATTCCCGCACGAGGCAGAAACAAATGGGCAAAGTTTCTTTCACCCTGAATGCCCCTGTTACCTAGCAGTAAATAGGTACCTGGGAGTTAGTCAGCTGTCACGGGCTGCTTCCTGGGGGTGGAGGCCTGGTCGAGGACCGGGCCGCGGGGACACTAAAAAGCCCCGAAATCATCTCAAGATAACCTCAAGATTATTATAATAATATACATCATCATCATCCCCCCTAATTAAGGTGATTGATTAAGATTATGGCACCCAAGAGGTGGCACGGGCATGAATAGTCCATAATAATTTAAGTGTTTACAAGTTTACATAGCTACTGTAAGTGAGCGGTGAGTGTAAGTTACATAGTGGCTTAGGACTAGTGGCTTTACAAGATTGTAAAGACTATGCTATGTATTCTCTCAAACCCAATGTACCTTGTTGTATATAAATAAATAGACATAGTGTACGTGACACGTAGTTTCAGACGTCTAGCGTCTAAACGACGCTAGACGTGTGCACGTAAATATTATGTAATATATCATTAGACAAACCGTACGCCAAGAGCTTTATCTAGAAAAACAAATCTTAATACTAACCCGTCGAAGAGTGTCGAGTCCTTCACAGTGAACACAATATCAAGGAGTAACATTAATTTAAAGATAAATCAATGGTATTCTTGGATATTTTGGCCAGCGAATAATTGTCTCAGTCAAACTTTCCAGTACTTTTCCTCCGTAGCTCTTGGCACTCCGTAGCATAGGTGCCTGACAGCTGGGTGGACAGCGCTTCGGATTCGTACTCCTGAGGTTCCGGGTTCGATCCTCGGTGGAGGCAGAGACAAATGGGCAAAATGTTTCTTTCACCCTGTTACCTAGCAGTAAATAGGTACCTGGGAGTTAGACAGCTGCTACGGGCTGCTTCCTGGGAGTGTGTAACAAAAAGGAGGCCTGGTCGAGGACCGTGCCGCGGGGACGCTAAGCCCCGAAATCATCTCAAGATCACCTCAAGAAGAACGATACCGTAGTCCCTGGCGGGGTCGAGCCCAAAAGCCTCGTACGCTGGGACTCGTCTTCAGTAACCCCACGGCCGGTGGGTCCCCTACACGTAGCAAGACCATCCAGCTGGACCCTAACACTTGGCACTCATCCTCAAGGCAAGCAGTGATCGCTGCCGTAGTTAGGACAGAAAGAAGCTACGGAAGCCGTGATCTAGACTGACTCAAGAGCCATCCAATAAACTAACCCTCCAGGGGCGAAAACTACTTGTTTGGCGTAAGCTATCTTTCACTCTAAGTAAGTAAGTAATTATCAAAAGAAGGCACCAAACCGGGAAGGCTATGTATCTTTCACTCAAAGTCTTCAACTATGGGCAAGAAAACACTCATTATTTTATAATATCTTACCCCAAATACGGTAACCCTTCAGCAACAAGAAGAACAAAATCCTCGAAGCTATCTAAGAGCGTCTTTATCCCTAGCTAGCTAGGCACGCCCTACACATTGCTAAACCCAGGACGCACTACGACCAGAGGTGAGAGGCCGGGCCCTGAGTACCACCCATGAGTCCTCAGGCTGACATCATACCATTTAAGCTGCCGACATGAAAGACCCCTTCGCCAGTTCATTCAAAATAAGAATTTTCTCAATATATATATTGTGACGGTAAAGCGTTGGTGTTCGGTTGTTTCAAAAGCTAGGGGCAGGGCCTCGTCACATAATCGAAAAAAAAAGAGAAAGTTGGTCCTTTCGTCTGTGGTAAGGTAATGGGAAGACACACAAAACACAAGTATATAAACAATGAAATTTTAATTACTCTAGAAAAACAAGACATGAATAAAGGTAATCACATAAAATAGGCAAGACAAGTCAACAAACAAAATAATATGAATAATCACTGGCAAATGAAAAGTTACGTTAAGACAAGTAAGTTACAGTGATAGCAAAATAAAATATAAGTGGTGCTGGAATACTGGCTTCGAGCTGCCACCTCCCTTAGTACACGAAAGCCAAGGCTTAGTCTACCAGCGAGAGATGTCAACTGCTTGGAGCACTGACATATTCTGACGATACTGCCACACTGCAGCCCAGACGTCGACTTGTGGTGGCAGCGGAGGGCAGGTGCGACGGGACACCAGCCAATCAGCGACAGGCAGGCAAAGGATGAGCAGTTAGCTGGTTACGGCGGTGGGTAGCAGGTGTCACTGTGTGCTGGGTACGATTTGCTCTCTGGGCAAAACGTTTGGCGATACTTGGTGGATGTATCTTCTATATTATCTTGTATATTGACGTACTTATGTAGGGAAGAGCAAGCTCAATCTCTCTTGAAAGAGATTATCGTCACAATATATTAATATTATTATATATTAGCATATTCAGGCGATGAGTCACAATAACGTGGCTAAAGTATGATGATCAGACCACACACTAGAATGTGAAGGGACGACGACGTTTCGGTCCGTCCTGTTCAAAAGGACAATCGACTTGAGAATGGTCCAGGACGGACCGAAACGTCGTCGTCCCTGGAAACACAAACCGAAACTGTCTCTATTTTCCGCTTGTTACAACTTGTAATAAAGTTGTTACATCTTGGCTTAACGTGTTTATGACGTATTAGAACGTTGTTACAACTTGCTATATTGGTTGTTATAACTGGTTAGGTGTTAAAACTTGTTCGAACGTTGTACCAACGTCGTAGTTTCGGTGTGTGTTTGGCGGGTCATTCTGCTTGGAGACTTCAACCTACGGCACCTGAAATGGAAGCACCTGGCTAATACAGTAATATCAGAAAGAATACCAGGAAGTAGCCTAAATGAACAGCCACATGCAAATGACCTGCTACGGATGTGCAAGAGGTTTGCCTTAAACCAGCAAATAGTAGAAACAAGTAGAAAAGAGAAACCGTTGGACCTCATTTTCACTAATAATGATGAATTGATCAGGAACATAATGATTACAAATACCAGTTACTCAGATCACAACCTAATTGAGGTTCTGACAAGCATGGGGAGTAGACCTGCACAACCAGTCCCGAGCCCCAGGGGAGGAGAATTCAGCAAATTCTATTTTAATAATAAAAAGATTAACTGGGAGCAAACAAACCAAGACCTCACAGAAATAAGCTGGGAAGAACAGCTAGAAAATGCAAACCTGAACCAGTGCCTGGGAAAAATAAACTCAGTAGCTCTAGAAATATGCTCAAACAGCATACCCCTAAGAAAAAAAAGAGGAAGAGATGTAGACTTTAACGGGAACGTCGTTCCCTCAATAGACGAAGAAAACGAATAGCAGAACAACTTGTAAGGGGGAGGCCTGACAGCTGAGTGGACAACACTTCGGATTAATAGTCCTGAGGTTTCGGGTTCGATCCCCGGTAGAGGTGGAAACAAATAGGCAGAGTTTCTTTCACCCTGATATTCATGTTCATTTAGCAGCAAATAGGTACCTGGGAGTTAGACAGCTGCTATCGGCTGCTTCCTGGGGGTGTGTAACAAAAAGGAGGCCTGGTCGAGGACCGGGCCGCAGGGACGCTAAGCCCCGAAATCATTTCAAGATGACACCCTAACTCAAGAACGTCGAAGAAGACTAGGTAGAAAAATAGAAACGATTAAACTAAAGCTACAAGAATTAAGCAAAATCCAAGAGAGGCAAAGAGAGCAAAAGGACATCAGTGAAATAGAGAGAAATCCGAAATATTTTTTCTCCTATGCAAAATCAATAAAGTATCGGGCCCCTGCGAAAGGGAGATGGAACTTTCACAGATGACAACAAAGAAATGAGCAAAATACTGAGGAATCAGTACCAGCGAGCCACTAAAGATTGATAGCCCAAATGAATTTTGATATCAATTATACATGCGTGTTAAGAATGAGATGTAGGGGGTGGGTGGGGTTGGGAATGGGGTGGGATGGGGGACGGTTGGTGAGAGGGGGAGGGGTGGAAGGAAGGGGGGGGGGTGACATTCCGAGAACCTCTCCCTCCCACACCATTCCTGAGGTCTTGGAGGAGAGAGAGAGAGAGGTGGGGAGGGGGGGGGGGGAAGAGAGGGAGGGGGAGGGGACAGCATCTTCGCACATCCACTCCCCTGCCTCTCTCCTCTCTCTCTACCCCCGTCCATCCATTCACCAGTCAACCTTCTATCCC